TATTGCATTCCTTTTAAGTATAAAAACACATGAGGCAAGAGGACTGAGTTCAAGGCCAGCCTGGAATATATAGCAGGACCCTGACTCAAAAAGAGACTGTACATTTTACATAAAGTACAAACAGAAAACTTATTTATGCTATTAGAGGCCAGATTATTGGTTAAATCCAATGGTGGATAGAAAGGACTAGTAAGTAGAATGCAGCACATGCAAGACTTCTTGCAGGCCTGCTAATATTTTGTTTCTCGTACCTTTGTAACTCACTGAACTGAAGATTTATATTCCATGTATACCCTTTATTTTTCTTTGCAGCACTGGGGATTGAATCCAGGCTCTTGCTCATGCTAGACAAGCATACTACTACTGAGCTACATTCCCAGCCCTTTTGAATTTTATTTTATTATGGGTTTTGCTAAGTTCGCTAGACAGACCTGCAACTTGTACTCTTCCTGCCTGTTATTACATGCATGGCTTGATGTGGATGTGTATTCATGTGTTAAGTATAAATAAAACTCAATTAAAAAATTAAGTACATATCAAAATTTATGTGTAAGAGAAAATAAAGGCTGGGGATATGGCTCAGTGACACAACACCTGCTTAGCAAGCACAAGGTCCTACGTTTGATTCCCAGAACCAAAAAAATAAAAATAAAAAACAGAAAAAGACAGTGATAAATAAGTAGTAGTACAAAGAAAAGTTAGAGACAGTGACAAGGTGCAAAGAAGTGCTATCTTAGAATTGGCCAAGGAACGGCTGGTCCGATGGCAGTGGGTTATCAGAACTTATTAACATTAGTGTCACTAAAGTTGGTAACAACCCCCCCACCCCACTGTTAAATTTGACTGGCTTAAAAAAAAAAAAAAAAAAAAAAGAAGAAGAATTGGCCAAGGAAGATGACTGTGCTAGTCTCCTCCCCATACATTCCCCACTCCCAGTGCTGGAGCCTGCATTCAGGGCCTCTGAGCTAAGCTACATCTCCAGCTCTTTTCTACACTTTTATTTTGTGGCCAGGCCTAAGTTGCTAAATTGCCCAAGCTGGGTTTGAATTTATGATCCTCTGTCTTAGCCTCCCAGAGTTCCAGGGATTACAAGCATGCACCACCGTATTCACCTGACTGTCAAGGTCATCCATAATAACCTATTAACATATAGAAAAAAAAATGTTTCTGGAAAATAGAATAGCAAGACAAAGGCCCTGAGGCAAAAGAGTTCTTTACAGTGTATGAGAGGGAAGCGTGGCTGTTGCCCATGGGCAATCAGCAGGCAGGGAGTACAGGTAACTCAGGAGCTATTAGGACATACAAGAACTTTTCTAAAGGAAGCTATTGGACAGTTCTGAACAAAAGAATAGCAGGAGAAGCCTTAAATTTTTGTCAATCATTTGCTCTACAATATTGACACTATTTGAGACAAGAACAAAAAACCAAGATTATACTGGAAACTAATGTAGAGATCCAAAACAGAACAGTGATTAGATTCTGATATATTTTAAAGTAAAAACTGCATTTCTTGATGGATTATATCTGGGGCCTGAGTTATGACCTGAAAAACTAGACAAAATAAACTTGTCATTTACCTGGACAGGGAAGGCTACCAAAAAAGTAGTTTATGGTAGTTGTTTTGGTATAAAGGGAAAGGCAATAGCTTTTTTCTAGATATGCTAACGTTCAAGTTGTATATGAGATACATAAGTGGAAATGTCAAAGAGGAAGTGAGATATACATTATAATTAGAGATCAGAACTCAACTGAAGGACAGGCAAGTTCACTCATTCCAAAAGGCAGAAATAGATACCATAGCAAGAAATATCTAGGCATATTAGCTAGCTTGAGAATTATCAACTGAGGCACTACAATTTTGGATCAAATAACTCTTTGTTATGGGGGCAGTACCCTGTCCTGACTCTGTAGGGGATTTATTAGCATCATTGGCTTCTGTCCAGAGTTTTTGAAACCAATATAGTGGATCTAGTATGGAAGCATGTAGAAATCCTTCTGATTATTTCTATTTTCTCCATAAAATAAAAAAGGCAAAGCCATCAGTTGACCTAGAAGTATTACTGGAGATGGGGGACAACAAAAATAAAATTTTCATTGAGAAAAGGGAACTAGAAATACAGTGGGGGGCCAGAGATACAGCTCAGCAGCACAGCACATGCCTGACAAGTGCAAGGCCCCGATTGCTGGTGGAAAGGAAAAGATAGGACAGGACAGGACAGGACAGGAAAGAGGAAGAAATACAATGGGATTTATCAGGCAGCCGGAGCACACAGGATGTAAATGGTCATGAATGTGAAGTACAAATCAGTCAGGCTGAGTGAATTCCCCTCTGATCTTGCCAAACTCCTTAGAGACAGATAAAGAAAAAGTAGAGGATTCAACTTAATCAAGGCTAGGTTTGTTCAGGCAATTTTGATGGGTAAAATAGAGACATAGAACTGAGCAGAATACACAGTGATTATTACGATGAAGCACAAAATACAAGTTGGAAAGATATAGAGCTTTTAAGTGCAGCAGAAAAGGTAAGTAAGGTCTGATTCCTATTTCAATACTTAATATACACTTAGATTTGTATACTACATTACTTATTCACATAGTGGCAGAAAATGTCTATAGATCATTGATATAATTCTTTTGTTTTCACTGAATACATCTCTTTTGTTTTCAGGTAAGATTCAATCTAAAGTGACACACTATTAAAATCTAAAGGAAAAAAGATTTCAGGAAGAAAGAGTGATAGCACTGAGAAATTCTACAAAACATACTTTTTCCAAATAGGTTATCCACAATTGAGCTGGGGGGATTGAACCCAACAGCTTCTTGTTTTATTGAGAAAAGTCTCACAAAGTCACTGAATTGTCCAGGCTGGGCTCAAACCTGCAATCCTCCTCCTTCAATCTCTCAAAAGTGTTGGGATTATTTAATATTTTTAAAATTTAATTGGTTTAAAAGCTAAGAAAAATAGAGACAACAGCCACTTCAACAGTTATCTAAGCAACTTTAACCTATCCAAACAAATCAATACATCAAAGTTTTCTTGTTTGTTTAGTTTTTTGGGACAGTTCACAATGTAGCCCAAGCTGGCCTTGAATTTGTGATCCTCCTGTTTCTGCCTCTCAAGTACTGAGATTATAGGAGAGTGTCACCATGTCCAGCTTATATCAAGCCCTGTTTTGTTCTGTGAAAGATCTTACTGTGTAGTTCAGGTCGGTCTTGAATTCACTATGTGCCCCAACTTTTGGTGATCCTCCAGACTCTGTCTATTGAGTGCTAGGATTACAAGCATGGACTACTATGCCTGGCAAAGATCTCTAACATTTAGAAAATTACAGCAAGTGGGTTCAGTCCCCAAGATTGAGTATGAAAATTTGAAGTTGTATCCGTAAATTTAACTTACATTTTAATGATTGTTTCAACAATTAGATTACTCTAATGTATGTTTTCACTAACTAGTAAAAGATAGTTTTTAAATGTTTTAACGATGTAGAAGGCTAGATAGGAAAAGCATGCCTGATTATATTGTTGCAAAGAAAAACTTTCCTCAACAAACAGAGCCAGGCTTGATGGCGCATGCCTGTAATCCCAGCACTTCAGAGGCTGAGGCAAAAGGATCCTTGGGAGTTCAAGGTCAGCCTGGGCCACAGAGTGAGTTCAAAGTCAGCCACAACTACATAGCAAGACCCTGTCTCAAAACATGCACACACCAAACAAACAAACCTCCACAAATCTAGGATGAAAGCCCCTCATCTCAGCATCCCCAACCTCTAAGATCCCACCCTCAGCAATACCTACAAAGTCTGTTCATAGTAATTTTTTCTTTTTGGTACCAGGGATCAAACTTACGACCTTTCATTTGTCAGGCAAACACTTGTGCTGCTGAGCTAAATCCCCAGCCCCTGTACACTGTACTCTTTGAATACAAAGGTCTTGATTAGCATCAACAAATTATCCAAGGGTACAGAAGCAAATTAACACAAAATCCTACATTACTAGTTCAGGGATTACCAACTTTAGCAATGACAGTTGGATCAAATAATTCTTTGTTGTAGAGAGGCTTCCTTCCTAATTTTGTAAGAAGTTTACCAGCATCTGTGGCTTTCCATCTCCCTACTTCCTCACTGTGACAACAAAAATGACTCCAAATATTGACACATATGCCCTAAGTGGCATAACTCCTCCTAGTTGAAACCATTAACTTAGGTACTTAAAATCTTGGGTTTTGGCTGGGGATTTAGCTCACGGGCATAAACGCCTGCCTGGCAAGCTCAAGGTTGTGAGTTCATCCCTGGTACCAAAAACTAACAAACAAACAAAACTTGGTTTTATAATAAAATTTCACTTAAACATTACACACAAACCTATCTAATATCTGTATGGTATTAGCATTTCTACTTCCTGAGTAAGCCCTAGAAATAACTCAAATACTAGGAATTGATCAATTTTTTTCTTTCTTTTTTTTGTCTTTTTGAGATAGTTTTGCTATATAGATCCGGCTGGCCTCAAACTTGCAGCAAGCCTCCAACCTCAGCCTCCCGAGTGTTGGGATTACAGGTGTGCAACACCACACCTGAGACAGGGCCTCACTGTGTAGTTTAGGCTGGCCTTGAACTCATGGTTCTCCTCCTGCCTGAGCATACAGGAGGTGAGCCATCATGGCTCTCAACCAATTTTTTAAAGGGGGAGAAAATTTAATTGTAGGAAATATGTAAACTCTGCAAAGATAACAACCTAATGTTTGGACTGAAATTACTTCCTAGACAGACTACTGAACAATGTAAGCTTGGAGGCAATTTATTACACTGACAAGATAGGGGCAGCTACTGCACGAAGTTAATTACTGATACAAATCTGAAAAATAAGCAACTGATTCATAGGCAATACTATGAAGTTTTTTTCCTAATACCTCATTCTTTGCAAGTAATAGAAAAAAATCTTGCTCCTGTGTTCCTGAGTTTCTGTCTCCTACAACAGGTGTCAAATTTCTCCAGGTGAATGCTTACCGGTAAGGGATTGGATAAGGAATGTTGCGGTGAGGATCGTGCAACTGGTGGAACACTTCTGCCAGGGCTGGTTCCTGGCCCGCTTCCCCCAGCAAACTGGCCAACAGGGAAAAATGCATATGAATAATTCAAAACAGTACTATGCTTCAGATAAGGAGAGTAAAAGATTAATACACAAACAGGTCATACTTATACATGGCCTTTGTAAGTCAATACATCTTATTTTAGACAGAAATTGCCACATAAATCAAATTCTTTCTTTTCAACAAGATTTTTTTAAAGGAGCTCCCACAGAAATGTATCAAGATATATAGAAAACATGGCTAGAAAGCTGAAAGTAGATATTGTTTTGAAAGGACATAAGAGAAGAATGATTTTACTTCTTGTCTCAAAATACACAAAGCAGAAATACAGTGGTGCAGTGGATGTTAGTCTTCTTTAGTAACCAATAATGATGGATCACTGATTGAGCTTACTACATGTTCCACACGACTAAAGGAAGAGGACAAGAGAAAGAATCCAAGTCACTCCACCTTAATCTCTGAAAGACACAAAAGCTAGTCTGGCCAAGAAATAAATCACGTCATATGTAAATTCTTGTATCATCACAGACAAGACACATAATAAACAAATATAAATTTGGGAGGTTAGCAGCAGTTGCCTCTTATTGAAAGAAGGGTAGCATTAGGTTGATGAAAATGAGGAGTAAGAAGGGGAAAACCACAGTAAAGGCAAATATTGCTTTCTAATGCCTTAAATGAACACAAAGATTTAGGTTTTAAAAACATTACAGAATTTTTCCCAAAACTTTAACTTACCTCAAAGTAATCGCTAATTTTATGTCCCCTAGGAGTGCCTTTCCCTGAAAATGAAACCAAAGTAAGTACAGTTTTTCCAGTGCATGTTAAGCCATCATTTACCAAGTGCATTATGTAGTCAGTAACAATATACATTTCTATAAGTGAGTGTTAGCTTTCACTTCTAAGAGAAAAGTCAAAATACCTGTACTCCAAAGAACAGATTTCCTTCATACCAGACATCACTGAACCAGCAGTGAAAGGAAGAATTTTTCAGTTGTTTCCTTCTAAGAGTCAATAATGTTTCTTTTATAAATAAAATTATTCCACAACTGGGAAACAAAATCAAATCTCATCTATAGTCCATATCCCAATTTAAAAGAATGAAAGTTCAAAACAAACTCTAAGAATAAAAGAGTTGACTCTATTTCACACAAAACTTGGTATGACCACATCCTTCTGGGACAGTGTTCTTTCTAAAAGATAAAATGAATTATCTATAGATTTAAAAGGCTGAGAACAAAACACAAAGACTGAGATTTACATTCTATAGAATGTCAGAGAAAAAAATTAACTACTATTTTTTTTCGATGATATGAAATACTTTGTATACACTTTTACAACTTAATTCCAGTAGGCTCCAATGTTCAAATCATGGCCATGGAAAACAGTGGCTATAAAAGATAATAGGAAACATTCTGGCTACCACTATGAACAAATCACTGATGTAACACACACAGATAAAACTCTAATCTTACCTCTTTTCTATATTAAGCATGTTGTCTGAAGAAAAACCTGCACAGTCCTCGAAGAAGTCATATTGCTTTGTCAGGTATCTATCAAACGGCTAGTCTGTAATAAATAGCTCAATATGCCCTCAACATATACAAACCTTTTCTGTCAGGACTCTCTGTATACAAACTAATTATCATAAGTCTGAAAATTCTAAGTATTTAAGAATTCAGTATTTTTATGCAATGTGAAATTATTATTACCTTGGTTAGTTTCATATGGTTCAGCTTTTCTTTTCCGATTTCGCTGGTCATTCTGCTTTTTCTCAGGAGTCTGTTAAATATCAAATACATTACAATTAGCATTTTGGTAAAATTTTCACATTAGTAAAAATAAGAGTATGTACAGAATATTAAACATATAAAAGATATGTAACTGGCAGACAATCTTGAAGCAATCCTGAATCCTGCTCTAAAAATGGAGAAAAAGGTACAAAAACCTATATGCAATTTTTGGCAAATTGCTCAAAATATCATAGCTTCAATTTATTCACATGTAAATAAGAGCTGCTACGAAGTTTAAATAAGATATTTTATAAAACACAAATATAGGGGGCTGGAGATCTAGCTCAGTGACATAAATGCCTGCTTAGCAAGCGGAAGGTTGTGAGTTGGATCTCCAGTACCAAAACAACAACTACAAAAAAACACCCCACAAGTCAAAGGTTCCACACAGCAGCCTCTCAGACAACTTTAAAGGTATTTAAACCCAATGCCTTCTTCAAAACAATAAAGTTCTACATAATTGATTAACTAATTAAAATGATTAACTAATTAAAACTTTTACCTAAGTACAAAGTGGGTGGTTGTAAACTTACAGCTACAGCCCTGCATCTAGGTTATTTGTCTAATTAAAACAAAAAATCTGATCTTTTTTTATGCAGGAAAAACTGAAAACAAGCAAAACCCTTCAAATTCTATTACTCAAGTCAGCTACTGTCCCCTTGCCTCTAATTATAAAATTCAAATTCTATCAGCCACTGCCCCCAACTATGAAATTCCAGGGTATTTTAAGTTAATTAATCTACTCCTGAAAATACATACAACTAACTCATGGCAACCATGCAAAAATTTAGAAAGACGAGGTCTATACATACCATAGTATGAAAAACCCATCAGGGCAGTATCACACTACACAAAGGGGACCCATACACACAGACTATAACAAACCTACACTAAAAGTATAGGAATATAGAAAGCAGATGTAGTTTCTTACCTCTACCTCTTTATCACTCAAGGATCCCACGCTGCACAAACTCTGGTTGGAAGACTCACTATTGAGCGGTCCCTAGAAAGAAAAAACATTTAAAAAGAATCCAAAGAAATTTTAATTTAAGATGGCAACAGAATGGAAGGTGGTGCCTTCTGGTTTTGGTATTTAAATATCTACAAAGTCAGAGAGGCCAAGATTTAACTGTATACCTCCCAAACCAACTGAACTCAGCTACGGTGCTATGCCCTCCATTTTAAAATTCTCTAAGTTACTATTATTTTCATTTTCTTTATGAACTCTGTATTCATTGCAAGATTTTCCATTCTAAAGAACTTCCACATGTTCTGAAATCATTCTTTAAGAAAAATAAACACGAGAAATCAATTTTTCAGGCCTCGGTATCATAAAGGCAGTATCTTAAAGTTGCCATATTAAGGAGAATGTCAACGGTCCTTTATGAGGAGGGGTCAGGGACCATCAGAAATGAAATGTTTTTCTAAGTCATGCCTTACAGAACCATCAATGCAAACTCAAAAACAAATTTCCACAAGGTTAATTGACCATTAACAGCGTGAGCTCTACTGCACTGCTCTTCATGAAAATGGTGAAAATTACAGAGAAAAATATCCACAACCTCTAGAAATGGTCTGTGGGGCAAACAACAAATCAAGAAACATCTGTTCAATAAAGTCCATAAAAATTCATTTAGCAAGGTAAAAATATCTGTAGTATTTGAACCAAGACTACTACCCACCCCGACTCTACTGCTGCAACCAGAAACACAAGGCTCCCTCTTCCCCAAGACCCAAGCCCAAAACGTTAGCATTTCTCAGCCTGCTCTCAGACCATTCTGTCCTGAGACTAGGTGTCATCAAAGGAAGAGCACTCTCTTCTGCCCAAACCCTACACACAGGACAGAAACTCAATGTAGTTACAGCACAAAGAATATTGGACCCCTTTCACACATATCTGTATCAGAGACAGCAGTTCCACTGTACACAGGAGGAAGGTGAGAGGACCTCAGGCTGCAGATGGCCCTATATCCTACACAGTATTTAGCTCCTAAAGTATCACTCACAGAAAGCCTGTCATTGCTCTTACCCCATCTTATACATATGAGCCTAAGGGAAGAAGCAGAAATATATAATATTCATAGTACCTGGTTTCACTGATTTCCAACAACATGGTGGCACATGCCTGTTATCTCAGTACTTGGAAGGACTGCTGTGACTTGAGGCCATCCTGAGCTGCAGAGTATGAGCTTAGGGCCAGGCTTTATAAACTACATAGTGAGACTGTCTCAAACAAACAAACAAACAAACAACAAATTCAAGTCCAGTTTGAGCAACTCAGTGAGATCTTACGTCAAAATTAAAAAGTAAAAAGGACTGAGGGTATAGTTCAGTGCTTGAGCACCACTGGGCTTGATCCCCAGTATCATTTTTTAAAAAAGAGAAACTCAGGGGCAGGGGATTTAGCTCAGCAGCATAAGCATCTGCCTTGCAAGCACTTGGTTGTGAGTTCAATCCCTGGTACCAATTAAAAAAAAAAAAAAAACAGAAACTCCAAGGTAAGTGTGATGGTATATACCAATAATTCTAGCCCTCTACAGGCTAAGGCAGGAGGATCACCATGAGTTTGAGGCTTGCCAGGGCAACATAGTAAGCCTTAAGGGTAGCCTGGATTACATAGCAAGACTTTGTCTCAAAAATAAAAAACAAAAACAAACCAGGAAACTCCCGAGTTGAAAAGAAGTAACCAGAATAAACAGGAAAAAAAAAAAAAAAAAAGGTCTCTGGACAGGCTCAACAGTAGAACTGAACAAACAAGATACAGAAAACCCAAAGACAGCCCAACAAAGATTATGCAAGATGACACAGATGGGGGGATTAGGGGGGTGAAGGCTGTAGGAATAGCTGTGGTAGACTGTGTGCTTAGTATGAGTAAGACCCTGTTTAGTTCTCAGCATGTTCCCCCAAAAAAAGGCTAGGTAAAAGAAAAATAAACTGAGCATTTCATAAATATGTAGAATTGTTAAGTATAACAGCATATGCATAACTGGGGTACAAGAAAGAAGAGGGCAAAGGGAACACACAAAAAATATTCCAAGAAATAAATGCTGAAAACTTCTCAAATTTCTTGAAAAATAACTACACACACAAGCTCAAGAAATATTACATAAAATAAACACAAAGAGATCTGCAAATGGAGGCATCACAGAACAAGTACAAAAAAATCTGTAAAACGCAAGAGAAAAACAATGTGACACAAACGAATTCAGGTAAGATTAAAAACAGACTTCCTAGTAAAAGCAATATAGTTAAATGGAACACAAAGATAAAATATTACAAGCGCTCAAAGGAAAAAAAGTATCAAGCAAGAAGCCTATTTGAGCAGGATGGCCTCTCAAAAGTAAAGGTGAAGGGGCTGGGGATATAGCAGCAGCCTAAGGGCCTGCCTGGCAAGCACAATGTCCTGAGTTTGATTCTTGGCATAGTTAAACACACACACACAACTTCATCAATCTGACAAAACACCAATTAAAAACCCAGAACTAACATTACACTAATGATACAAGAATGACTGCTCTCCCTAACCCAACACCAGGATATCCACACTTACCACCTCTACTCAACACTGAACTAAAGAGCTTTATTAGTCCCACTGCTGGACACAATACCCAGTACATAGTACTTAAAGGAGGAAAAGTTTAATTGGCTCACATTTTCAGTCTATAGTGAGCTGGCTCCAAGGCAGAAACATCCTGGGGAGAAAATGTAGAGGAGTAAAGCTGCTCAGTTCATGGTGGCTGGGAAGGAGAACAGTTTGGGATAGTGAGGGACCATACCCAGTATCTATGGTTACCTGTCAATGACAAACCCAGATACCCTCAGGAGTGTGCTTTAATAATCCAATGGTTCCTTAATCCAATTAAGCTGACATACAGAAAAAGTCACAAAAGTCTAGCCAGAGAACTTAGCCAAGAAAAAGAATAAAAGGTATCCTGAGACTACAAAGGGGGAAGTAAAATTCACAAACTCACAGAAATCAGAAACCTATAAATTATGGGTAGAAAATACATGAGTACAGTAGGACAATAGGATACAAGATCAACATACAAAAAAATATTTTATTTCTATATATTTGCAGTGAGCAATCAAAATAAAATTAAGGAAAAATATCTTCCTACACATTAATATAAAAAGATAATCAGAATGAATTTAATCAATGTACAAAACATATACTCTAGAAACTATCAAAAAAAAAGTTAAAAACAATTTAAAATTCAAATCCGGCGTTGCAGCACATGCCTATAATCCTAGTACTCTGGAGGCTGAGGCAGGAGAATTGCCACAGGGTCAAGGTCAGGCTGGGTTACACAGTTATTTGAAGGCTGCCTGAACTGAACTATATAGCAAAACCCTGTCTCAACTCACCAAAAGAAAAAAGAAAGAAAGAGTGTGTCAGGGATTTAGTTCAATGGCATAAGTGCCTGCCTGGCAAGTGTAAGGCTGTGAGTCCGAACCCTAGTACCTCCTCCTCAAAAAAGACAGGCAGATAGAAATTCATTTAAAATCTAAATAAGTATAAAAAGTCCCAATCTTCATAGATTAGACATGTTAATTCTGCTATAATGCTAATATAGCTATCTAACTAATTCATTGTCAACCTATCAGAATACTAGCAGTTTTTTGTTTGTTTGTTTTTTTAAAGACAAGAGTCTTACTATATAACCCAAACTGGCCTTGAACTCACAACAATCCTCCTGCCTCATAGGCATGTGGGCTGGGGATTTAGCTTAATGGTATAAGCGCCTGCCTGGCAAGTGTGAGATCATGAGTTTGACCCCTGGTACCAACCCTCCCACCAAAATAAAGCATTATAGGCATGCATGTGCTACTATACCCAGTTCCTCTTTGAAGAAATTAATAAACTGATCCTAAAATTCAGGGAGTTAGGGGTATAACTGAGTGGTTGAGTGGTAAATTAGTATGAGGAAGGCCCTGAGTTCAATCCTCAGCACAAAATAAATAAATGGATTGATAAGATTCATATAAAACTGCAAGAAGCCAGAATAGACAAAACAATCCTGATGCCACACATCATCTGACTTTAAAAATTACTACAAAGCAAAAAAAAAAAAAAAAATTACTACAAAGCAACATAATGAACATAGTGCATTACTGGCATAAGACTAGATCAATGCAACTGAATTGAGGGTCCAAGGATAAATCTATGTAACTGTGGTCAAATGGTTTTTTTACAAGGGTTCCAATATCATTCCATGAAGAAAAGTATTTTCAGCAAATGTTGCCAGGCAACTGGCTTGCTAAAGGCAGAACAATGAAGTCAGATGCTTATATTTCACACATATAAAAAATTCAAAGGAGATCAGATTTAAATGAAAGGGTTAGAGGTATGAATTCTTAGAAGAAAATAGAGGTCAAATCTTTATGCAATTCCACAGCCCTAAGGTAGAGGATGGCATCTTTGAGCCTAGCCAAGCTAAGGTAGGAGGATGGCATTTTGGAGCTTAGCCTAGCAAGGCAGTAACTTAGCAAGACCCTGTCTCAAAATAAAAAACAAGAAAGGGGTTGAGCTGTAGTTCAGTGCAAAGGCCCTGGACTTCATACCTAATAACAAACACATTCACAAATACTAAAAACCTTTGTGATTCAAAGAACATTATCAAGAACCTAAAAAAGGCAACCTAAAACAAATGAGAAAAAATATTTGCAAACCTGTATCTGGAAAATGAATTGGTGCACAGTTTAAAGAACTCTTACGATCTGATAAAAAAGAAAGAATGAATGAACGAATTGAAAATATTAACAAAGTACCTGAACAAATTTTTGGCTTATAGTTTGTAGAAGTTTTCATACACAGTCAGCTGGTTCCAATGCAGGGTAGCACAGCAGAAGAAAAGTGAGCCGTAACATGGCAGAAAAGAAGTGAGCCATGGCATGGCAGGGAAGAACCAGGGAACAAACAAAGGAGAAAGGATATATACCCTCTCATGCCCAAGCGACCGACCTCTTCCCATCAGGCTTCACCTTCCATCACACTCAGCTATA